ATGAGATACTATTAGATGAGGCATGCAAGGTAATTTACGGCCCACGTGGATAGGTCTTAAAATAAACAATCTCTTTTGTAATGAAATTACAATTACAAAAATTAATTTCACTTACAAAAGACGTTGTGTTAGCTATTTTTGTGCCTTTTATAGCTTGTGTACACATTATTGTTGACAGTTTAAATAGCATTAAAAGTTAACGGAGGCAATTTGTCGAGATTATTAACGCGCCGTACCTCACCTTGGTGAAATAATATTTACGCGGTTTTAATGAAAAATGTGAATTTAACGGTGAATAATCACCTGCTACGATATTTAGGAGCATAACAAATTGTTCTATTGTTTTATATTTGTCAAGCAATAACGGATCTATTTGCCCTCAATTGATGGTAGAGTTTTGTATGATTCTGCAAAGCGATATCGATAGCACGTCAATTTATTTCGTTGGTAGAATTATATGTACACATTAGTATTATGGTTTATGACAATACAGGCAATAAATTACTGTACCTATTTCTTGACATTTATACTAACATTATATATATAGTATATTCGAAAGTGTATTTATATATCTTAAAAAAATATGATTTGAAGATTACTATCTTTTATTCAAGAAATTACCGATGAAGTTCTAGGTATCAACCGCTAGTAATTTATAATATTTAGTTTCAATCACTTCTCAATTTTGTTTGCTTTTCAATAATCGACTAAAAGGTATATTTTTTGTGTTACGCATTACATATATATTTTACTAGCTTTTGTAATAACTCTTCCTATACATTTTTAGGATGATTTCATTCTTCTATTTTAATTGTAAAATGTTATTAATATACAACTCTTTAGTTTTTAACTTGTTTAATTCAATAGAATAGTTGCTTGTAAAAAATTAAATTTTTAGTGCTTAACTTCTATCTCTATTGAGTCATTGGATTTCTTTTGACGATGTATATGTTTCAATGCACACCCCTGATTTCTTGGGATATCGTTCCCTACAGTTTGATATGTTCAAGCAGTATTTAAATATTTGAAGGCGGAAAACTTTCAGCAACATTCTGATGTTTATCTGTGAATCGAATCACTCATTTAAATACACACTTCCATATTTACAATAATCTTGGACTGGATCATCTGCCAACAGCTTGAGCAAAGCCATCTACTTTCAAACTAAGTGAGCTGCATTTATTTTTATAAATATATATATATATATATATATATATATAGTTTTTTTTAAATAAACTATTAATTATTTATATAAAATATGTTCTGATTATTTCTACGGTAATTGATGTGTATATAATATCCCAAAACTTATAATTACTACTCAATTAAGGTAGTTATAATACTAATAAAATATAAAATATACACGATATCTTCCTAACAGTTGAGCTCCCAATTATAGAAATATTATTAATATATGAAAATCGTATTCGAATCATTATTAAGAAAGTTTTTCAATCACTTTATAATTAGTGGAATGTAATTTTCATATTTTAATAACTTTCACAATTAGCAAAATTGGCAACTGTCTAATTATAACTAATTTTGTCATCAATTCTCTGAAGAATAAAAAATAATAATATTGGTAAAATTGTGTGTTGATTCCTCTAGAAAATTTAAATGGTCATTATCTTTTAAATTAATAGAATATCTATATAATAGAATTATCATTAAATTTAAATGGTAGTTTTTTTAGAGGAAGAATTTGTAGAGAGTCGTATGTAACTCAGTGTCAACTATTTTTATGAAGTAGCATGCCGTACAAACTGATTAGTGGAATATGGTATGATAACACAGTTCATCTTGGCATTGCATGTATACATCTACAGTTATATTTGTCACATTATATTATAACTTATAAATATATATATAAATATACAACGTGAACAAGTGAACGTGACAAATGCTGTACATTTATATATATATAAATATATGTACCCATATAGGTATATAGGTATATATACATATATATTACCACTTACCATCAAAACACGCTTATAATCACTTCAGCTTATTTACTGAATACAAGTTTCCTCTGTCGCTACGTACGTACGTAGTACAGTTTTAAGCCACCTGCTCACATTAACTTACTTGTAAATGTCATTCTGCCAGTTAAAGTTTTATAGAGTTCTGCACTATATGTTTATATCGACATTATTCAACAAAAGTTTTCTTGTCAAACAACAATAACGTTTTGATTACTCATTTTACTTTGTTAAGCTATAATCTAACATAATAGAAGCACTTTGATGTCTTGACTCGTAAAAAAGAAATTGTTTTTTTTTTAATATACGTACGTCCTTGTTGTCGTTTAAGTAGTTTATTATGCTATAAAACTGTATTCACTATATACTACTACATATCATCGTACCTAGTTATCACATTATTTAGATTGTAGTTCAATGTCTTCCTAATGTATTTAATATCGTAGTATTAAAAAAAGGGTTCCGTGAACAGAGTGAAATAAATATGCTCTTTTTATCGCAGTCAACTTGTTTGGTGCCCAGATAAGTAACAATTTTTCTTTATGATCTATATGGTACATTATCAAGACAGTTGGTTAAACCAGAACAATGTTTAGAAATGTAAATGCTTAATAGGTAAAAAATAAATCGACAGATAGCGTATATTGAAACTTATCCAATGAAATGAAGAGATGTAAAGTGTTGGGTTTTACCAGGACATTGGAAATTATTAATACTTCCGTATGAAACAACAGTCATGAAGGTATACTATTTATTATTTTTATTGTTTTGAATACAATGTATCATAACATAACATAATAATCATATAACATATTGTATTCAAACATTAAAGTTGAAACTCATTTAGCGAACTGATAAGATGGATGTTTAAAGTTTCAAACCGTACATGAAACCTAGATCTCAAAACTAAGTTTAGTAGTTCTGTTTACCAGGACTTGACGCTTATTGATTACTCTACAATCTATACCGGACATCCTTGTTTCGGATTCTGTCACACACGTCAATAAAGCCTTTTTACTAAACTTCATTTACTTGGTCGGAATTTTTGGCAGGAGGAAATTTGGATTTCCTTTTACTTGATATGTCAGCTGCTTGTTGTGATATTGAATAGATCTTTAATTTAAATTTACTGCACCGGTTTTTTATATGTTCTATTGTGTATTTAAAAAAGAATAGTATTGATTACTATTGTATATATACCATTCAGACTTTTTAATTTTAAAATTGTTTATTATGTAAACTAGTAATTTACAGATTCAACCGAGAAATTAATGGTATACTTATACTTTTTATTTCATACAAAATCATAGTAAAATTATCACAACATATTGTGACAGCATAATATTTATTAACTTAACTAGTCTATTTATAGTTTTATTATTTTATAGCTACTAACTATATATTTAATCATTAAATTACTGTATCACAATGGTAAGCACATTGCTTTGTACTAAAATGAGACTTCCGGCTTCCATATTCAGTGAGCTTATCCCCCGATTGATCTTCTAACGATTTAAATTCTCTAAGGTACAGTGCTGACTCACATTACCGATATTATGAGCGATGACAGGGAAAATTTTCCATTCGTAATTTACAAATACCGGTATTTTTACGATATTGGTATCAGTTAAAATCATTGTATAGCCATTATTTGTATCGTCAATAGAGATAAGAGTAATAAATGAGTAACTACAGTGAATATACAAGTATTAGCTAATTATAATAGATATGCTATATAATCTTATCTATTGTTCAGTATTTTGTGATTCACTTTGTACCGAATATACTCGTGAAGTCAAAGTTAACAACAAATCCATTTAAAAGACGTGCTTATTTCTTCTAAATGCTATTTATTTCTGGATACTAAGTTTGTAATTATATTCATTGTAATATAGAGGTTGCCTCTAAGTATGATTTTGGCTAACCTTTTTTTATAGCACAGGTGATAAACGAGCTTGCGGCTCACCTGATAGTGATTACCGTCGCCCATGAGCACCCGCAACACGAGGAGAATTGCAAGTGCGATACTAGCCTTTTAAGAAGGAACAAGCTCTTTTCTTGAAGTTTTCAACCTGATTGTGATTACCACCCATAATCACCAGGGAGACACGAGGAGCACTTATAATACCAGGTGTGTTGCCAGGTTCTTGGGAAGGACAGGATTACGGTACGGGTACGGGAAGAAATCAAGGAGTGGGAAAGCGATCATACTGTATAATTATGCACAACTAGGTGATTAATGTGATGAGTGTGAGGTGGTGAGGTGGGTAATGTGATTCCATTATAAAAATGTATTAATTAACTATTTTTAATTAAATAAAATTTCTCACGTAACTATATTCTACAGTGTAAGTACACATTCGTGGTTTCATCTACATATATTGTGTAACTATAATAAGAATAATTGCTTCATTAGTGTTTCTTCATTGTTCATTACTTCATATAGTATTTTTAATCAATACAAAGTAAATAAAGAAATATTTTATCGAATTATCAGAGATTGCACTATTTCTGTTTTGAACAATATCCATTACTGTTTTCCGGTACCACATTAATGGACGATTTCCGAGCTCTGCATAAACCTAGGAGATTTAGTAGTGCTCATTTGTCAAATTGTTATGATGCAAAATTATCTAATGGGTTTTTTTAATAATTATCATCGTGTTTTCATAATCAAACATAGTGATGTTATATTTTAAGCGTGTCGTAAATTAACATTCGATGTTACTATCTAATCTTAATAAAATAATGATAAAACGTATTAACACTTTAAATATTAAAACAAAATATATATACAAATTGACAATAAAAAGAGGAGTTTGTGTTTTAAGAGTTTTATTCAATTTATTTTAAATAATACGTAGTTTACGTTAAATACTAAATTTAATACAATTATTAACTAGTTTAGATTAAAAAATATATTTATCTCTAGATAGATGTTATATTGAAGGAAATGAACCAACGTAATAATAAATCGTTTCATATTTATTATCGTATATTATATAATTGGTCTGGGGAAATATATTTCAAGTGAGTTTTTTTAGTGAGACAATGGATGAATATTTACAAAAACAGTTGATTATTGCACTGTGTGGTAAGTTTGTTTAAATTATACTAGATTAATATCGTTAAAATAATTTTAAGAAACAAAAACGAAGAAAACTCCGACGAAGAAATAAGTCTTTGTTTTATGAAATGTAGCATTTATGTAGATATAATACTTTTTTATCGTTCTCTATAATTAAATACTGCCAATCAAACCCGGAGAATTCCTTGCCATAACTTTCACCTGTTGTGACTTTGTATTTTCTTTCTTCCTTTCTTTTAAATATTTAATAAAAACTATTGCATATTGTGACTATTAAGTCCATAATTTTATTTTACATTTATATATTTTATAAGATATATGTATATTTTCTTAACTAAATATTGAAATCACAGTAAATAGTAAAAAATCTACTCACTACTTTTTTACAGAAATGATTAGCATTTTTGTAACTTATTCTTATAATTAAATATTTAGTAGAATCTCATTATTCACTCATTGCAATATGTATGTGTTCAGACGGATATAATGCGTTCCACTTCAGCATTCTACACATATAGTAGTACCAAATTTTATACATATATATCATATACATCCAATTTTATTTTAAATTACTTATAGTTATGTATTTTCTAATTAAATAAAAGTGAAAGTTTGTTTATTTGTTTGTTATTTCCTACCGATAATATTGATTTTAAAATTTGGAATCCATTTAGGATTTGTGATAGAGCCAGATATAGGCTTTATTTTGCAGGCCCTTTTTTATAAATACAGACAGATTTTTTTATAATAAATAAGTTAAATTTTAGTGTACCTGGGTCAACTATTGGTTGGATACGCATTGGGATGGACGGCACCAATAATACCAAAACTGGAGAATCCGGACGAAAGTCCACTTCCTGGTCCTGTAACAAAGGGCCAACTATCTTGGATTGGATCTCTGTTATACCTTGGCTGTATAATAGGTATGATATTTTTTACTTTTTTATATCATGATAATATTAAATACTTTATTTAAATATTTAGCACAATTTTATATCAGAAATATTATCTTTAAAACAAAAAAAACAAAACAAATTATACAACTTAAATCATAAAGTTCTTATGATAATACTATCAAATAATACTGGTTGCCTATTACTGTGAATATCTATAACAAATATAATATCCACAAATTGAGCTGTTCCTTTAATATTAGTCAAATTATGTAACATAATTTATATGATTTTATACATTTCTCATTGTTATTTTGAATTATACACATATATAAACGAATATACATCGAGTGCTTTCTAGTAGTACCGGTGACTGTGTATGTAAAAGAAGATTAAGAAATCGGGTAGACATATTTGTTCTTAATAATTGTTCACATGAAGGATGTCCATGGGGATTCTCCAGTCGACCCGTAATCAGAACCGCAGCATTTGTAATAACGTAGAAATATCAGAACCCTTGAACGATATTATATTATAATTGTATATATAGCGTTTATATAATTTGTACATTATTTTGCATGTTACAGGTCCTCATGTATCAAGTTATCTGTCAAATAGGAGAGGCCGTAAACCATGCTTCGTCATTGCTGGTGTTCTGATTATATTTTCGTTCATCCTCTTAGCAACTGCTACAAATCTGGCAATGATCTACGCTGGGAGAGTTGCCGTTGGTTTGGGAACTGGAATTATTGCGGTTTTGAATCTAGTTTATATTGGTGAAATAGCGTGAGTAACATAAGTTTTAATTTTATTTTTTAGACCGATTAAGTATCGATATGAATAGTTTTATGGAAATTTAATCGTTTTTAATTTAAAGGTCAACAAATGTAAGAGGAATATTGTTAACTGGGACTGGTATATTTTCAACACTTGGGACTCTGTTAATATATTCAGTTGGACCTTACGTTTCTTATGCATCCACTTCCTACATAGGACTATCTTTAACTATTTTATATATAATTGGATTATATTTCATACCTGAGACACCATTATTTTATGTTATGCAAGGTACTTTTTTTATCTAAATTCAATTTTACCTCAATATTAAATTTATGTATATATATGTATATTACAAAATTCATTCAATATTCTCCTAAGAGTAATATTTACGATCAATCAAGTAGATTTTGTACAAAAACGTCTGCATCTAACTCTGTCTCAAACATTTCCGACAGCCGTAAAGTAACTTTATAAAATGTTTTCGTTAGAGGTTGAGATAAAGCAGTGAAACTACAAGGTGTTACAAAGAGGCATCTTAACCTTCGGAATGGCTACGTAGGCCATCACACGATGACGTAATGTTTATGATGCTATTCATGTGTATAGGTAACTGTTGCTTTAAGACGACCAGGATGGTCTTTCAGCTTATATGTCGTTCCAGTTGCTTAAAAAACCATAACAGCCAAGTGACATGCGAAATAGTTTTATCATCAGTTTTCCTTTTCCTGCTGTGACATGATTTATTCACCTAATATAAATTCTTACTACTATATCCAATTATTGTATATATATATGCAATTTTAACGACACTGCCCTTGATTAATGTTAAGCTATTGTTGAATGTTACCTATCAAAGAATTTCATATTTAGGAATCGTATACTGGTTTATATATGTATTAAGAACAACATTTTTATTTCATTTTAGGTCAGAGTAAAGAAGCTGAAGCTACATTAATAGCACTAGGAAGAACAGATGAATTAGATGATATATTAAATGTCGAAATTGAAAACCATGGCAAAAGTACTTGGAAGTTAAAAGAACTTATCACTGAAAGAAGCAATAAAAATGCTTTAATAATAACATTGACTTTAAGTATACTACAGCAAATGAGCGGAGTTATAGTTGTAGTATTTTTTGCCACAACCATATTTGAGCTGGCTGATTCCTCTGTAGAACCAAATATAGCTACTATTATAATAGGAATCACTCAGTTAGTGTCTAGCTGCATAGCTCCATTTCTTGTGGAAAAAGGTGGGAGAAAACTTTTGTTACTCTGCTCGACAACCATATGTGCTTTTAGTTTGGTAAGTACCATCAAGACAAATTAAATTGTGTTCATCAGAAATCCCACCTGTAGAAGAAATTTTAGATAATATTTCGACAATGTTTTTTTTTCTTGTAGGCGGCGTTGGGGGTTTACTTTTTAATTTTTTCATACGATAATCCAAACATTGATAAAATTGCGTGGTTGCCGCTAATGACACTTGTGATATTCTTTTTGTCTTACGATTTTGGTAAGTATTTCATTTTAATGTTCACAGTATTTTTTCATTACTTTACTTATTTGCCCGAGTCTTTTCGTTATATACGAGTAACTGTTAATATACAAATTTAATAAATGCAGGGAAATATTTAATTTTAATATTTTATTTGTAAGTTTCTATTTGTTATCGAATGTCTCATTATATAATAAATTAGACAAAATACAAATGTAATCGCCAAGATCTGTATCTGAGTAAATCTAGAAAGTTTCTGTTTACTGAATTAATTCAACCAAGAACAAAGACAACTATCGATAACATTAATGTAAAGAATGTATAGAATATTAATCATTAATGCCTTTTTAGGTTTTGGAATTATTCCCGGAACATACGTAGGAGAGATGTTCCAACCACAAATGAGAAGTACCGGATCTGCAGTAACAATTACTTCGGCTTGGCTAATTGGCTTTGGAGTGTCTAGCGCATTTGGGTACATGATTACAGGATTAGGAGGTCATATTACCTTTTGGATTTACTCCGCCGCTTGTGCTGTAGCAACATTGTTCACGATATTTTTTGTTCCGGAAACTAAGGGAAAAAGTTTGTCAGAAATACAGGAAATGTTAAGTTGATATTTTTAGTTACTCGAAAATGTAATAATGTCAATAAATTTTTGTCTTCATTATATTTTTCATAAACATCAGAAAAGTATACAAATGTAGTAAATTATTATTCATGTAACAATATAATTCTGATAACCTTCCTGATAAAATATCTCATGGCCATTCACTAAAAGTAAGAGTACACTTTAATATTTTTGATAATCTGAATTCAGATCTAACATATTTATAATTAGATTAATTTTATTAATAAGAATATTCAACGTAATAAAGATTAGTTTTTTTATAATTGTTGTTTATTTGTAATTCTTTCAATAACACATAATACTAGTAATTTCCTAATCAAAGTGCATACTAAAGGCTGGGGTTAGAATAGAAATAGAATATTTGTGGCCTAGTGCTGCCTCTTTTTAGACTAATATTTAAATTCACGATAATTCAAATCTTCTTGACCAAAACAATTCATGTTGTCAATTTAAATTTGTGACTGACTCCCCGGATAATCCATATTGATACACGTATTGTACGTATGTTAAATAGTTACAAGTTTCTTGTTAAGTTTCAATTTTAGATAATCATATTTTATATATTACAAATCAATTAAGATATTTTGGAGGTATAAAATGTACAGTTTCTTTTTCTATGCGTAGTTTGTTATGTTCTCATAATTGCCACTGTTTCTATTATTAAATACTTCTGATTTTTAATTAATAGTCTGGCACTACTTATTAATTGCCCCTTCCAAGGAGTAAATGTATAGCAATCACCATCTCTCTTATAAAAGCGACTATAAAAATACACGTACTGGGTAAGAAGTAAGCCAGGAGTAAATATTTATACAGTGTTATAGATGTAACAAATAAAAATTAACAATTCATTGTGAATTGAAACAACAATTCAATGTAATAAAAAAAATTATATAAGAAATGTAGAAAAAACAACTCTTATATAATTTTTTTATTACATTTGCCTGTATATTATAATAATGCTAACTTTAATCTAACACAATTAAATATATTACCGGCTTAGTTAATTATAGGTATAATTTCATCGTTACACATGAAAAAATAATATTTTTTTTACAAGATAGTATGAAATTTATCTTTCTAATGTGATCTTGAGATTTAGTCATATTTTTGTGATCAGAGTATGTATTGAGTTGTTATTATTAAGCAGTTTAAAATTGTGTATATTATAATAACATTCAAAATAGAGAAATATGTGAAGAAACAATTTGGAATAGCCATTGGCAGTATGTATCATAGATATGTTAATTTATTTGAAATCTTTTTTCGATCTTTGACTTTGGGTACTATATTGTAAAGTTTTTATTACCCTTTAAGTGTTTATACGTAAGATATAAACACACAAAAACGGACAAATCGAACAGACAGAAAAAATAAAGTACCATATTTTTCGGATATCATTCATTTAATTATATATATAACCTAAACCTGTATATCTAAGAGACGAATAAAAATCGAATTATTTTCTCGTGCTTGCGTTCGAAGTGCCTCAAAAATTAATCTAAGAAATTTATCAGAGAATAGAATCCAATGTGTTAAATTTGTATTGTCAAATTTTTATTTATTAAAATTATAACTCATTGTATGTACATAGATAATATATTTAAAAAACTATTATTAGGGACTCTATCAGTGTAATAGTATCCAAAATAAAGATTGTTATAATATATGTCTACTAATCTGTACGCGTATCTAGTGTGCTAACAGTTTTTCCTAATGTTTCAGTATGACCGAAAATTAAGTGTTTGTTTTATTCTAATCAATTAGACACTAAAAGTTATAAATTATTTGTTATAGTTCTGTTTTATATGTGTACTCGTATAGGTAAAAGGAATACAATAGAAAGAGACTTGGATATACGGAGATATATATTGGGAAACTATTGACAAGCCAGAATTTTGAAGTATAAAATAACTATAAATTTAAATACAAATTAGAATAAAAAGATATATTTCCGATTAGCCAGATATAAGACTATATGTTATTCCAAATATCACGAAATCGCTAACTAAACCGTTTAAAAAAATGTGAAGTCACATCAAGCTTTTATATAAATAAAACGCGTTTCCCGTTGGACTCGTCCCAAGAATGTCATCTAATTTCAATAATTAAATTACAAACGTTTTTAACGTAGGCGTAAAAGGCGTAAATATTTGATTTGTATCTATGTACATCTATTTACAATTACAACGTTAATCTAATTATCTCTAATTTGACGCTCTCGGTGGGCTAACGGTTTAGCACGCCGCGCCGCTTTACTTCCGATGGGTTCGATTACTCGCACAGTGCAAATATTTGTATTCATAAATATGATTGTTTGTATCCGTCTGAGTATTTGCTATGTATATTATGTATATATTTTGAAAAGAGATGTCTAAGTATTTATATCAGTTGTCTAGTACCCATAACACAAGCTCTGTCTACCGTGTGACTAGATGGCGCTGTGTTAATTATACAGGGTTATTTATGTATTTAGGTATACTTCGTACAAAGTCATCTGTGCCTCTAGGTCATCTATTTGTATTTTTAAGTGGTAGTAGTTGACTACTGAAGTCTACTGCTGGACAAAGACCTCTCGCAAGGTACACAAATTTGTTGAGTTATGTCGGTTAGTTCTTTATACTTGATCCCTCAAAGAATTTTAGGCATAGATTTTTTAGGTAGCTGAGTAAGTTTACGTTGGTAGACCAGTTTTATCGTATGTTTTTCGTCACAGTATGTTGTGTAGGACGCTTTGTAAATATATATAACTTATATACATACAATAAATTCATAACAAATTTATATAATCTGTCTAAAATCTATATCTCTATCCTTACTTATTAAAAAGTCTTAACATACAATTTTATACAAATATCTTAATTTAATATCAAATTTTGTTAATATATGTTGTATTAAGCTATCAGCGTATCAAATTCACTGTTATTTATGACATTAATATTAAGCTGTCAACAGGCGAACCTTATGCTTGCATTAATTATACGTTAATACATTAATTATATAGAAGAATTTATGTTAATTATCTATATTTTTTTATAATATAATATTTTTTTTTTATATTACGACGTTGACAAACGTATATGTCAAATCCGATAGAAAATGATTACCGAAGCTTATGGACGTCTGTAACACCAAAGGTGCCAAGTGCCGTTGCCGACTCTTTAGAAACCATAATATATTCTTCTTGAAAAACCCCATGCTATAATCTCTAGAGAAAACCTCGGCAGGTAGTTCATTCCACAATCAAAGTGTACGCGGGAGGAGGTTCTTCTGAAACCGCACTGGCCATTCCGACGCCACTTAGAATAAAGCGTATGGAGATGAATTCCCTGTTGATGGCAAGCGGTGCGATGGTAAAAGCCAGCCACATACATAATGTCAGATAATTTGTCAGAACGCAGTCAATGTTTATTCGGTAGAACACAAAAAGCGATGCGCAGTCTCGTCTCAAGCTAAGTGGTTCGATATTGCTTATGAGATGGTTGCTATTTTCGTCTGTCTCTTAATGCCTTTGACTTTTCTAATTTGGGATAACAGGCGTGAAGGTATTTTTGTCTGTTTACAGTGTATATAGGGCCTTTACTTAATGGATATGCCACAGGATGGACGGCACCCATGGTACCAATACTAGTAGACCCAGAACAGTCTCCGCTAACAGAAACACTTTCAGCAATGCAAATATCCTGGTTGGGTCCATAGTATACTTAGGATTCATTGGTATGTATTCTATAATATTCATTATCTTCGAAGGATGGAGATGACTATTCTATAATTGGCGATTACAAAAATTCTATTTATTTGCTCTTTTCACTAACTTTTGCTTATAAATTAGTTCTTTTTATACTGAAATCAAAGTTAATTAATGGATTTATATAATATATGCAACTATGAGCATGTCTGAGACCACAAATATTGAGTGCTAATACCTGACCACCACTCTTAAAACTATTACGACGTAAAGAAGGTCTTAATATAGTAAAACTATTGTAATCTTCGCTATCTATTAGTGATTAAATTCCGACCGTTATTAAATCTACTCTCATACACGTGTTTCGCTTCTGAACGAGGCATCATTATGCAATGAATAGAGCTCGGATATAGCTTGGAAGCCTAGTGTCGATTGTTCAGCGTCGTAGTCTGTTCGGTGAATAATCAACATAGTAATGGTAGCAGAAAAATAACAAACTAATACAATGCCATTAAATAAGTAAAGTGACTTCCGCAAATTACACCTAATTCAATAAAATATACGAAATCAAGGTCCTAATGTTAATTTTAATACTAGTAGTGTATAGGAATTGCATAAATATTTATATATATAATAATTATAGACAAATATATTATACATGCCTCATATGTTTTTCTTACATAATCTAATGTTAAATTATTAAATTAAAGGTGTATTGACTATATTTAGGTTTAAAAATAAGATACACCTTATTCTATTAAGAGAAACTGGACTAAAATTCAGAAGTGTATATAATCATAAAATAATTTAATCTTAAGTTTTATAATATGTCTATTATGTATTTAAGTGTATACGATTATTTTTAGCTGCAGTTATAATTGGTTATTTAGAAAAACATAATAGGTAGAAGATTATGTTTGATGGGGAATACAATATTCACAATATTATCCTATGCTTTACTGATATCCCCAAATATATCTATGTTATTTGTGGCGCGGATTTTTCATTCTATCTATACAAGCATCAATATGTTTCTCACTTTGGTGTATATTGGTGAAATAGCGTAAGTATACAACATACAGATTTATAGATAAAAATAAATTACATTTTACGTAACTGCACTAGCTAATACTGCAAGTAAAAGAAAACGAATATCATATGTATTATATATTTTCAATAGAGCAATATAACTATCGTAACCTTAACCACTTTGATTTACCTATTTTTATCTCCAAGCAGTTTGCATTGTAAGATGTTCTCATCGAGTAGTATCACTATTAAACGTGATGAAATTGTTCGTATTTTTTTATTTTTTTTCCTTCTTAAACTTCTTCAGGAAATGCAACAATTAAAATTTTATTTTTAACATCCGAGTATATCGTATTATAATGCTCATGATACTGTTAATAAGCAATTGGTAACGACTTATCATTTTCCATCAGATAGATTATTATTTTGTTTGTAAATACATTTTATTATCTGATTTGATTCTTATGAATTCAGATTACAAGTTTATAAGCTGAGACATTAAAATTAGATCATTCATCTGAAAATTTATGTTATGTTTTATTTAAAGTTTATGTTAATTGTACTTACTTTTTAAATATCGATATTTAACAAGTCAACTAATTCAACAGCAAGTGACTGTAGTAATTTAGAAGTAAATAAGAAATTATTTGAAACTGAGAGTGATTTTAAAAACTTGCGTTTATATCAAATAAATAGATATTGTGAGATTTCTTATTATAATTTAAGTTTCATATCAAAGGCAAGTGGCGAGTCATGGCGTAATTTTATCCGGGTTAGGGGTAGAATACGTATAACCAGCCGACTCCTGTCCCGGATGAAATTAATTTTGTTAAACCGCGTCTGCTAAGACTCAATTTATATCCTTTCGACAGCAAATTAGAAAATTGCCAAATATATTTTAAAGCATATTTCTATCTATTCATAATCTTACTAATATTATAACGAAACGCGAAAATTTGTGAGTACGTATGGATCACACAAAAACTAGTGAACGGCTTTTAATGAAACTTTACTTTAATATTGCTTGTACATCAGTATAACAATCGCCTATAATTTAAATTTTATGTAAATTGGGTGAAATATAATGTGATAAATATCAAGTAAAACGATGTAGATGTAGGAAAAATTGGGCAGGTAAACTAGTATTATAATAAACTGCTGTACGTTGGAATTAGGCAAATACAATGAATGAATATTTGAATATATTGTGATATCACAAGTAGAATAATTTATACATAATAGAATAAGGTAATTGTCATTGTAATTTCTGATGTGTTTAGCTTTACTTTTGATGGTCACGGATTCGATTGCGCATGGTGCGAATATTTGTATTCAGGAATGTGACTGTTTGTATCACACGATTATAATATTAGTAAGATTATAATTGTAGATAAATTTATAGTATCCTTTATAATCTATCAATTATTCTTTAATGTTTTTCAGTTCACCAAACTTAAGAGGAACATTATTAACAATGACAGGAGTATGCCAAAATTTGGGATGTATATTAATATATTCGGTGGGGCCGTATATACCTTATAGAACAGTGCAATATCCAGCTATTATGTTAGCCATCATATACACAATTATCGTATTTCTAGTACCAGAATCTCCGGTATACTATTTAATAAAAGGTAAGTTATATTAAGGCGCTATGGTATTATTAATAATAATAATTAGATTTGTTAACATAGAAGAAAGAGCCCTTTTACAATATAACATCCCTACAATCTCTTTTCAAATTAGTACTATCCTTACTGTATTATCTAATGACATCCGTTATTACAACGGTAATTTACAAAAGTGATAGAATCTAAACATTAATTTTAAATATAAAGCTTCTGCGTTCAGCAAAATTCAATCTATTAGAAATTGACATTCATATCAATCTATAAGGTATGATGGTCTCCAAAACATTATCTGTTCTCCTGTAAATATACCAATGTTTTTCAGGGAATGAAAAGTCCGTAGTTGCTACCCTCCATAATCTTGGAAGAGATGAAGATGTCAGTCGATTAGCAAACTTTACTGAAGAGTTTAAGGCGTCTCATTCGTCCAGACTTTCATTGCGAGAATTATTCACAGTTAAAAGCAATAGGAGAGCCCTATTCATAATGGTAGTATTAATGTCCTTTCAGTTTAGCAGCGGTATAGTATCTATGATGTTCTTTGCTACTACCATTTTCAATTTGGCAGAATCTTCAATAGACTCAAATGTATCCACAATTATTATAGGAGTTATTTCCACTGTGGGGTCAATAGTTTCTCCAATGTTTGTTGATAATTATGGGAGAAGGATTTTATTATTATTGTCAACAATTGGATGTAGCTTATGTATGGTAAGTTTTGTTGTTTTATGGTTAATATCAATCCTAATAATATCCTTATCACTATACAAAGCTGATGTCATCTTAATTTGGGCAAACAGTTTCCTTTTATTGTAAATTTTTAGTTCATTATTCTAATACGTATTCTTTTTATATAAAATACTTGTAGCAATAGCTAATATCATTGTATTACATATGTCATGTTTTTTACTGTTTCAGGTATCCTTGGGAATTTACTTCTATATGGATCAATTAGACCAAACATCAGTTAGCTCTCTTAAATGGTTACCTTTATTTTTGACAATAATTTTATTCTTTATTTTTGGTATAGGTAAGTATTATTTATGTACTTATATCTTTTCAAATTAATATATTACTGCAAACCAGCACGAAAGTACTACTACGTTTTGAGCATAAGCTGAAATAAAAACATTAGTTTCTGAATTTAAAGAGATTTTTTCGTTTGTAATATATATTTTTTTCTTACTACTCTTTAGATTTATTGATTGATGATTAGATTCTATTGACTCTTCTATTTTTCAAAGAGAAATATTTTATCTACGTTAAAAATTGAAAATAATGTTGTTGTATATATTAATATAACTTCTATTATATTAATATATGCAAGATATGTCTAATTAAATATTTTTTCAGGTTTTTCCACAATTCCAAATACATTACTTGGGGAAATGTTTGGACCCAATGTCCGCACTATTGGATCTTCAGTGAGCATCTGTATTAGTGGCATTGCTGGCTTTATATCTACTAACTTCAGTTTTGGATATTTACTGGTTAACTATGGAATACACTCGACTTTTTGGTTTTTTACAGTTTTAAATATATTAGCTTTTATATTCACATGGTTCTTTGTACCAGAAACTAAAGGACTCAGCTTAAGAGAAATTGAGGAATTGTTAGCTAATTAGAGTATATATATATAGTATAGAAAATTTCCTTTAAAATCAAGTAATTATATTACGAAAGAAATCAATTAAGCGTTCATTTATGAATGCCGGTCTAAGATAATTTATTGTATATAGAGGAAGGAAAGAAAAAGGAATATGTACAAAGTGGTCGATATATTTTCTATAAATATATCACCGAATTGTGTTTCATTTTATTGTTTTATTTCATTTTATTGTTTTATATTTATACTACCTATTCTTTACTGACTTTATGGATACATTACAATATATCTACAATACTCATAATATTCGAATACTTTATCTGTGTAACTAAATCTAGTTCAGTTCATTTTCAATTACACTAGATATTTTTACATAAGTCTGGAGATTATTAAGCCTGACATAAGCACTATATGTCATTACTTACACAGTTTATTTAATTACTTGCCTACGTTTTAGACTGCGAATAGATAATTGATTAGGCAACCTGATATATTTTACGAATATTGGGATAAATTTGTATACATTCCTCTATTCAAAAAACTTACAATGATATTTTAACCTATTTAGAATAAGGTGATATTTTCGGATATGTAGATTCAATAACATTCGGAAACAGATCACAAATAAGGAAAGTCATAACAATTCTAGTAGTGGTGGTTAAACCTCCACATTGAATATTTGTGGTGTCATACATATTTATAATAGCGGAATGGAGAAATACAAATGCAATACCTTTTATTAAATTATATAATTATCGCCTGTTTTCGTTTATATTTAAAGACAATTACAGGTTGTTAATTCTATACTATTATTGATTACACGAAGGTCAAGTCTCAACAGTTAAGGTTATTTGGGAGCACGATCCATAAAATTACAAAGTTTAATTAAATACTGGACCTGGTGAAGCGAATAGCTTTAGATAGTTTCAATATAAATTCTATATGTTATGTGAATCTGATGTTATGTTTATTAAGGTTAGATATAATAAACCAACCTTAATAGTTTCATAATTCTGTGGCATGTTTACAGTATCTTTAAATTGCTAACATTAAATTATAACCTTTTTTAATATTAATAAAGAAAATGTTTTGTTTGTAAAATGAATAAACTAAAAAAAATACTAATTACTATTTAATATTTTTTTATACATTATTAAATAGTAAAAAATTTTTTAAGCTTCAAAATTATTAATGTAGCATGCCATTATTACTAATTTTATCTATTCTCCTACACATTTCAAGATTTAGTAGCGTAGTTGGAAACCAAAATTTCTTAAAAAATTGTACCAGAGTGGAATTTTCAGTAGAAATAATTTAGGAATAGAAAATTTCCTCAAGTTGAACTGGATTTTAGATTTTCATTCATACGAATACATCCGTCCATTGTCTAATTATGTTTATGATATCATCTTGATGACCAGGCATTTGCTATGACAATTAGGTTCTATTATTATCTACTTCATAAAAGTTTATGTAGATCATATATCTGTAATGTATTTTGATGTGTATAAAATCTTGAAGCAAAGTTTGATTGGCAATCAGAGTTGCACAATACGGGCATTACACCATGTTTGCGAGGAAAGTTTTAGTACCTATTTACAGGAGGTATTCTGATAAACGGGAATGAGAGAGAACCCTTATGAAGCATCAAAATATCAATATATTATACAGATTTAAAAAAATGGTCCAGTGTTCAATCTGGCGGACGCAAAATAAAGTAGGGGAGCGAGGGGCTTGTTGTAACAATTTTTAAAAATAATGATATATCTTGAGTTGTATTGATTAAATTACCACTAACTAAACTTTGACGGATACTTTAATTATTCTTCTAGTAAACCAAAGCGAAAAAAAATCAAATCTACAGGTAACTCTTTCACAAATAATTTTTTATTCAAAAAAGGGAATTGTTACAATTTACCCCCTGGTTGGGGTTTGTTGTAACATCTAATAGGGCAAGTAGTAACAACAATAAAAAATAAAAATATGATACCTTTAATCATTTAATTATATCACATCTTGAATGATTTTATAATAATTAACTGAAGCATACATTTTATATAATCAACAAACTAAAGATTTAAGTTTTTAACTATTTATATTATATCGTACTTGTGTACTCCTCTAGGTAGGTACTTATATCAATATGGCACTTAAAAATCACAGTAAATTAAATTATAAACATCCAGATTAAGTCTCGTAATTATCTCATAGTTCTAACTTACATCTTAGAATAATCAGCCTTGCAATGAGTCTCTTTATTAAAGAATTTAGTCTTCGTCTGAATTATAGTTGATACAAACAAAAGAAATAGTATTTTCTGTGACACATCCTACATGTGCCCACATCTTACATACAATACATTCAACCCAATTATCTTTTGAATGACTATATGCTTCCTCGCAAATAAGACAATGCCTCAGATTCTGAATCTGAACTTAGAATCCTTTTTTTAACTCTTTTTATTTCATCTTTATTTTTTGCTGATTTTTTACCTTTTCCTTTCCCCTTTTGCTTTCCCTTACCCTTATCATCTTTTGTTTGCTTTTTCTTTATCTAAAAATAATAGCAGTAACTTACAGCAATTTGAGGGCAAGTTGTAACATGTTACAACAAACCCCACGATTTTGTTACAACTAGCCCCAAGGTATAATTTTCAATATTTATCATTAAAACTATTAAATCAACTTAGTAATCTCAAAAACTGTTACACGACATCATAAATAGTTATATTTAAGCATCAAACAAAATACAAAAATCTCCAATTAGTTGAAAATTGTAAAGCTAACCAAATATTTCGGAAGTAAAATTATACGTTATGCGACAACAAAGCTCTTGCACATACTCACTCACTGCGCCGCCTGGCAGGACACTGGCTATGATGAAACGGTGTGGCGCGTTACAATTGGAAGATTAAGTAAAAAAAATTCGTGTATAAAGTTAAAATTCCTATTTAAAAAAATCTGTTACTACTTACCCCTGTTACAACAAGCCCCGCGCTCCCCTACTTGTATATTAATTTGTATAGTATTTCTGAAACTCAGATAAGAAAAACTAAACGACTACTAAATCTATAAAACATTCAAATAGGTACAGGAATATAACCATCTCATCATGATAATTGGCGATTACTGATGTACATGCAGTTATGTAAAAAACCCTTTTAGTTTTCTATTGCCCATAACCATCATGCTGTCACGACCGTCCATAAATCTTGAACGTCCATAGTAATATCATACGATAAATTACAAAAGCAACCAATGTAACTTCCTACACAAAGCTGTTCCATAAATAAATCCTTCAAGTGTTTATCTAGAATCTTTTTTATTCATTTAATTACTTGCACAAATATAATATAATTATAGACATAAAGCTTAGGCAATCAGTAATAATTGAATGTAATATTATACGTTACGTTCTGTATCATAACTTTAGATATACAACGCTCTATACTTTATAAATTTACATACTCAACATCCTTTCTTTCCTTAAATTATCATTATCATTTATGATTTTTAAAACATAACAATTAATCCTCCAGAATGGTAACATATGAGTAGTGTCACATGATAACGTTACATCCGTATTGCTATAGGCAACGGTTTCACTTCCCATCAGATGGGTTGCCAGCTTGTTTCTCATTCCAATTACATTAAAAAAAATGTTTATAGATAAACATAATTTAATATCCAATACCAGAATACAGCCGCAGATAAACAGATGTCAACGTCAATAGTGACCAATTTCACGCAGCGCTGCATAACGGTGTTAGTTAACAAATGTTGGGGACATAGAGACGTTACTGCCTACTTTCATAATAATAAACTGCCTATTACATATAGAAGACACTAGATGTTACCCGCATATTCGTCTAAACAAATCCTAATCTAATCGAAGAATATAATAATAGTAATCTCAAGACAATTCACACAGGGCGATCTAGACCTAAGCTAAGCAAGCTAGACCTTGTGCTACGGTTACTAGATGATTGATACAAGTACATTTTTTTTTCGTAAATATTATTTTTTTCGTAGAAAACAACCAGACCGATATAAACAATCATACTCATGAATACAAATATTTGTGCTGTGCGAGGAATCAAACCCACGGCCATCAGAAGTAAGGGGGTGTGCTAAACTACTAGACCATCGAGGCCGTCAATCCTATTGAAGATAACCTAATTTTCTGATAATTATTTTCATTATACAATATATATTTATATCACATTTTATTAAGATAAATGCAGGTAGTTTTTATAACATAATTAATTGGATAACAAAGTAATGCCTTGATATAATAGGATTTCATTTTAGATACGGTGTTCTAAAACCACACCCGTACACTGCGACGCTATCAACTTCATCTTACTATACATAAATACGTGACCAAATCTCTGATCCAACATTTAATCAAAGAATCAATACTGTAAACAGATGTGGCCTTCTTTTAAGACTGACTATCACACCAAACACCAAATGGTTGTTGTTTGGCATGATAGCTACTCTTAAAGGCTTAAAAATAATGTAAAACAAAATGTGACAAATTAATAAAGTAGGCATTGTATAATTACCTACATTCGGTTTCGAATATACCTTTGTTTTAAATATTAAAACAAAATTATTATAAATTATTAGCTTAAAAGTGACTTTGAAGCTGTTATTGTATGTAAGAGAAGGAGGAGTAGGGGGATGGGAAAAATAAACTTTCATATAACAGGTACGTATAACTATGAAGTAGAGAATTAATCTGTGCAAGAGCATAACTTTTTAGTAAAACTTATAAAAATATACCTTTGTTACACAAAATAGGCTGAATACTAATGTACTCTAAATAATATTTTGCTTTGCTCTACATACGTAATTCTCTCCAGGCATATCTTCATTTCAGGGACTGGAATGTTACCTTAGATAACAATCTAAGGTCTATCTAAATACGGTAAATCGCTTTAATCTCTCGCTCTATATTCTATATTTACATTACCAACACATATGTCGACTACATCACGAATTACGACCGAGCACGGCACAAACATTTGTATTCATGAGTATGATTGTTTGTATCGGTCTGGGTGTTTTCTATGTATAATATGTATGTATTTACAAAAAAAAAATATATATGTATTTGTATCAGTTATCTAGTACCCATAACACAAGCTTTAGCTAGCTTAACTTGGTTCTAGATGGCACTGTGTGAATTGTCCTAAGATTGTTATTATTATGTTATTATGTTATTATATGTCGATTACATCACGAATTAAGGGGAAGGGGATTGTTAGTAATGAGACTAGTGAAGCTCAGATCGACCTTCACGTAGTCCCATCAGGAATCCATTGTGATTAATAGATTGGATATGCATCACTATACGCTGATGTAAACTCTATATAAATAAACACGCCTCTTCTCATTTTCTACTGGTGCTCCGTCAGCGTTTACCGTCAGCGCAAGACGACGCGACGTACTATTTCATTGTTGTCAATTTAAAAAGAAGTGATAAATATATATTGAAAGCAGAAACTGATTAAATAGTTTATTATAGATAAAAGCAATCTAATATTATAGATTTTAATGGTTTACTCATATAGTATTAATGTATAGATAAAAATCAAGATGATAACAGACAATATTGCAATTTTATATGTTACCAGACTTATTATCGCCTCCTACCCCTGCCAGGGTTACCTGGACAGTAACATGGCTTGGGGCACATGGACTTTGGCCCTTTCTGCGGACAGTTTGTATGACCACATCCTCCTTCTCCTTCGATGTCTGCACCTTGTTTTAAAGTTATCATCATTTCATTGATTTGATTAGTCAATTGACCAACAGTGTTACAAAGCCGTTCTACTGCTATTAGCGTTGGTACCCCTGCCATATTAACATTAGCTTTCCTCCTCATGTCACCAGCAGGAATCTCTGTAGATGATGAGTAACCTGACGGACATATTTTGCAACTTGTGCAATCATCTGAAGAAGATGACATTAGCTGCATAGCACAGGCTGCTCCCACTGGAGGTTTTGTAGAGTTAGGAACTTGTGAATTACTATGTTCTTTGCAAGAGTTTCCACACTGGCTCAAAGGGCAAGGAGGCGTCGCTGAAGTCTGATTCATTTTATTGGGAGCTCCTTTATTTACCGGGCACTTCGTATTTTCACATTGGGGTGGCCTATTAGCTGGACATTGCAGATTCGTACAACTATACGGTTCGTTAGTCATGTATTCCTTCGGCAGTGTCGTTTTACAATCGGGGCATGGGCAAGTTACTGTAATAATACCCGCTTTTATATCTTTTATTTTACCAGGTGTGTAGTTCAAGCAACTATAATGTACCCAGCTCTCGCAGGCACCATGACATTGCAATCCATTCTTTTGAGAAACAGGCCCCAAACATATTTTACATGGGTTTTTGATTTTGCTACATTTTGACATTGTGTTGATTTCTTGACTATCTGAGTGTATATAACATGATTAGATCGATATTGTTATATGCTGTTTGGATAAATTATTATTTACGTAGGCATGTTGAATTTTTGACATATATTGTGGCAGATGACAATACATTCTTATTCTTACAGTTGCTTGTGATCTTTGAAAAGTTTCGTAATAGAAGTTTCATTGTGGTCTTATAATATGACTTTTTTTTATAATATATTTCCATTATTAATTTGTAGGTTATATAACATAAAAGTCACAAATTACATACATTTCAATACAGTTTTATAGTAAGAAAACATTACGTTTTCAAAATCAGGTTGAGGTTTTTTCTTCATAGTTGAGGAGTGTAGGTAGTTAGTATTTATTTAAAGTGATAGTAATGACTATTTGTTTGTGAACATGTACAAATTGTTCATTTGCAAAATTATAAGATATGTATTATACAATATTATACATACATATATTTTTTTTTATAACACAGTAATGCCAATCAAGCAATATCTGATGGTAATGGTTAATGGTTAAAAGTTAAGTTAACAGATGTTATGGACGGCAGAAACACCAGGGATATCACCTGCGTATTATGAACACTTAATGTACCATACTTGAAAAACCCCTATTCGAAAATCGTGAGAATCTTAACCGATCTTCATGTCAAAATTTCATTAAGATCTGTCAAATAACAAAGAAACAGACAGATAACTTTGCATTTAATATACTAGTATAGATTATACGGTAAGTAAAAATATTTACAATTGACAATAACGTCACAGTGATAAAGTACCTACAGTGTTTACATATCATTGTTCATGTAAGACAGACACAATCTATCATATGAGCTATCAATTTTATGTATTTTTAACATATACGAGTATACGTATTTAGTAGACTAAATACATAAAACAAAGACAGTAATATGGATCTTAGATAGGATTGGTTTTAAAGTAATTTCGTGGAGACACCATTACTCTCTGTAATGTAAGAAGGTAATACTCTATTTGGTTTGAAGACTATGTTGATCTTTTTCATTAAGTTCAGAGAAGCAATAAACTTTTTTTCAATATATTACAAAATAAGCACATGTACAGCGATACGACAACAATAAAATGCTTTGTAACACATTTTTCACCTGCTTCACTTTAGACATATTTACATGCTGTTTTTAAACTAAAATACTGTTGATAATAAGTCTTATTCTCTATGTCATAAAGTTCGTATTTTATTGGGAAACAGTGAGCAAAAGCAAATGGATGGTAAAAATGTTGTTTTTGTCTTAAGTAACACACAGATCTTAAGTTTGATTCTTCGGTTTAAAAACAGTTTCATACAGTATTAGCCTGTTTTCTTTTGCTTAATTGTACTCAGAATCATTATCATTTTATGACAATTATTATTATTCCATACTAAATTTCGGTTTGGAAGAGAGCAACCAAAGTCGTTTTTTTTTAATATAATATATTTATTTAATCAAAGGATGTACCATTGTCATTTATGCGCTTTTGCCATCTCATATCATCATCATTGATCCTTTACTAAAAAAGCCATTCGGGCGGCAATAAATAAAATATTTGAAGGCGCTTTGAACTGCCCCTTGAATTTTTTCTCTTGCAAGAAGTTATCTAAATTTCGAAAACAATGGTAATCTGTTGGAGCAAGATCCGGGGAGTACGGTGGATGAATATTTTCCCATTTTACTCCCTGATAATGTAGCTTTCTGTAGGCGTAAATATTTTTAAAATCCTTTAAATATTTCTTTTATTTTATTTATTAAAAATAAAAAGAAATCTCTTTATATTATTGATTACATCTTTATTAGTATTATTAGGCAAAACAACAATTAGGTGATTCCAGGGGTTTCTAAGTAGCATTATTGAAATCGAGGAGAGAAAATGTTGCCATTTTAGTTCGAATTTAAATAAATTTATATCAGTATGCAATTAATATGGATGTTTTTTTATTCGTAAGAAATTCGTAAGAAGAACCTTTAAGTTTCGACAAATAATTACAAATTTACAAAACTAGCCACATGTGAATCTAAGGCCAACCGGCCAATATACGAAATAAATAAAAAAACCAAACATATCCGTTTAATAAAAAGAAGTCATTAATACTGATTTCGTGTCTATTCCTTAATATTATAGCATTAGCTCCAAATGTGCTTGGAATATGTTTTTAAAAATGTTCTTAAAAAACCATTACCTATTCCAATAATACAAAGACTTTAGTCTCGGATTCATCGCAAATAGAAAGTTGTATTTGTACTCTCAGTGTAGATATTGCCAATGAAGTATTTGAGAAACGCTCAAATTACTGAAAGAAAATACCTGCGGCTGTAAAGTCGTTTTGAAAAGATTACTTAATAAAGGACTGTATATATACGATATCGATTTAAATCTTTTCCAATATAAATATTAGTCATCGGCATTTTTTTATATTATAGAAAGCGATCACAAACTCAAATAAAGTATCTAGGTATATCTAGATGTAATTGAATGAACCTAATATAAGGGTGTCATATTTTTTATAATTTGTATATAAAGTAAATTAAATACTAAAAACATTAATTAAAAACAGTAACAGTAATAACCCAAAAAAAAATTCTTTCATTACTCCAGATATTCATAAAAAAAACAATGTTGACAACTAAAAATAGGAGAAACATACAAAATATATAAATAGATGCCTTAGATTTGTTAAGCGCGTGACACTTTTATAAAGACTATGGTATTATAATTTACTCCTACAACTACATGTTTGTTATTCTATCTGTCTGTATGTCATATGTCAGACACATCAAAGTTTGTAAGCTCAGTGATTTGGAATGTTTCAATCCGACCACATATCTAGCTAGACGCAATCCACTCACAAATATCTCAACAATGTACTTACTAAATGGCACGAGAATAAAACTGCTGTCGACGGATATTCTCAAACTTCAAAACTATAAGTCTGATTACGATCTGCTATACTCTTGTAAATAGTTTTGGCGAACTCCGTCGTAGTTGTTATGATTGGACCCATCATAACACGACGATAAAATCTAGCAATACTTTTATATGTATCTCCAACACTGTTACATTCACACTGTAAAAGAAGCCTTTAAAAATTTGCGAATTGCATATGCTACAACGTAAAAATATATTTTAAATCACCGGTAATTCAATCTCTTGATAAATAAAACTAACAAAATTACCAAAAAAAAGTAGCTTCTATGGCGCATCCACATGATTGACAAACTTATGTTTATTTTAAATTCAAGGATGTCAACAGAATGTTTTACTGATTTGTATACCTTTACAACACCTTAGAGTCGACCCCATCCAGTGTCAGTTCAGTTATCACAAATTAAAGGTATTTTGAAGAACTGTGTATCTTTTGTTCATTAGATTGTCAGGGATCAGACTTACAATCTTCAGGTTAGATAAAAGAGAGAATTTTTAAAAGAAAACGCTTTAAGCATTCTGAAATATCACCAGGGAAATTCATGTACTAAATTAAATAAGTAAAACCAATCATGCACCAACAATAGAAATAAGCCAAATGATCTAACAGATATAAGCTCGATGGCCGTCATAACAACCTCTTTTCAACACACTGACTCGCAAGCGTGCAAATGACAATATTTGCTTACCAAAAACAAGGCAAATATTCGTGTTAGGAATGTGTGGTCAATACTAAGCTAGTGACTACAGTTTAATAGTTTAGCTAGTGAGCAAATGCGTAGAAGTAGCAACTACGCTAATTCGTACACCATATATGGAATAACTATTGTTATGAGCAAGCAGGTAAGCAGTCAACTTCGTCTTGTAGGTACGCGTGTCAGCCATCAAGCTGTGGCATACGCAACACTTAGATACTCGTTGCCACCAAGCAAGCCAAGCTTTTTTTCCGACAACTCTAATGCTGTTGTACAAGTAGAGATGGCACTCCAAATCCGCGGTAGGACTTATGGGGCGGCAGAAGGTAAACTCCCGCCTGACGGATATGACTTTAGTTTGAGGGTACCTTTAGGGGTTCGAGCGTCGGCTCAGGCCGTCGTAATTTCGATCCCCGTTTGAATTGGACGGGAGATCGATCGCGCACGTTGTATGTAGCAACCGCATTGACTCGAAATATAAGTTCAGTGTTAAAACAATCAGCTGTGCGACGCATAGATGTAACGCATGGGCTACGTTAAACCAAAAGGTTTCCGTTTTTCATTTTTACTTCGAAACCCCAAAAACTGCGTAATGGAAAAACTTTTTTCACAATTTGTGAAATAACAAACTAAAATCGTGTCGCTTGTAATTATGTATACATGACTGAAGGTTGACTTTGTTGTTCCTTTCTATTATTATTATAGAATATCGAATTATGTTTACTAAAACCCGTCAGACTACAACACGACCTGAATAGCTACTCTACATAATAACTGATATCTGAAAGTAAGAGTAAAAATAATTCCTTCATATAGGATATGTTTTGCTACATATACACGTAAAATTTTTATAACACTTCCCGTCCTATTCATTACAAAACAAGCAAATATATAAATTTATATCAAGTATATTTAACACCTTTGTGATAAAATTGGGTGAAATACAGTATAATTGGATATACTGAATTTCCTCAATTTTCGTCTCAATCCCTTATTCATCCGGTTTAATAATAACCTCCTCTTATATACATATATAATAAGTAAAGAAATGCGGACAAATACAGAACATATTAAGAATAATTATTGTAGGACGTCTATTATATTAGAATAAAGGCATTTTATTATAGAATAAATACAAGTATAAAGTATTAATTATAATATCCTAAATGTATGTTAAGATATATTTATAATCATATGATCCCAACGGTTATCTGGGTTAGAATTGTCAGAGTCACTGTTAAGTATATTCAGTTTGACCGTTTGACATCCCAAAATTCTACGGGGCATATTTTCTTCCAACATGGTGTGGGCTAGCCTACCGCCATCTCTAGGATTTATTTTGGTTTGTTATCACATCAAAATTAACGCAGATACATCGATATGTTTCCATCAGCGAGGATATAGTCGGAAACTTAAATAGGCACCAGTCACATTCGTCAGAGGACGTCAACATATACCCCATCTGGGAAGAATCCTAATCGTGAAGGTATAGT